CTGTAAATAATACAGTAATAAAAGAACTAGTGAGTTATCAACAAGCCATAATACATGTATTGAATTGCAAGGTGTATTGCTACTTCATGATACAAATCATACTTGACAAACAGATATCAATTTAGATCTTTAAATTGTCCAAATACGGAAGAGACCAAATGTTGTCTATCGACCCATATCTTTTATTGAGATACAAACTGCATCATAGTATGATAAACAATACACAGCATAATATAATACATGAGTTAAAGTTTATGTTCAGTTGTCTTATAACTCATTAAAGGGAAAGATTGATCTAGAAATGACACTTAAAACTTCAAATGAAACCAGCAGAATTACACAAAAGAAAAATCAAAAAAGGAGAATTTTTTTCAAAACTGGTTTGCCCTCATTGTTCCAACATATCTTAAATTATAAAACATAGTCAAGAGTTTACTTACTCCAGTTTTATAGACAGCATTTTTATATAATTTAATTAACCGATCAATAGCCCCTTCTCTAAAAATATAAAAAAATATAGTATAATATAACATTTAAAACTGACAAATAATATTGAGTAACAAACATTGGAATCCCAGAAACCAACAAACAACTTTTTAAAAAATGGCGTAGTAGTGAAACAATAAACTTTATACTGACCTTATTTCTAAAGAAGGTAAATGAGGTAAAAAATCATTTCCAACAAAAAAACACATAAAAACCCAATCATCTAAAGCTCTCTGAAATGAAAAATATATCTTAATTTCCATTTGTCAGGGATCTTTAAAGGTCATGATTCGGGAGTTGATAATGGTTATGAATATGTATATGTAAATAGTCTTCAGATGTACTAGAACTGTGCGAAAATATAAGTAAGTTTCATTGTCTATTTCTATACCTGACTTTCTATAATTGCTGCGAGTCTCAAAAACAGACAAATCTTTATTATAACTTTCTGTACACACATGAGCTGAATAATCTAACACTATTACTGATTAGTTAAAAAATTTACTGTCTCTGAGACTATGGTCTGAGGTGAATCTGTCCCTTTAAGAGCATGCAGTACATAGGGTCTTCATATTGAATGACAAGACATGACAACCTGAATCCTAGGGGAAACCAGATTATTACAAAATATACAAAAAAAAAAACACATCTGATCCTTTAAAAGATGATGCTTACCTCAAATTCATATTTAAAAGGTAAATTAGTCATTTCTAATTCTTTTTCTAAATATTCTCGTAAAACATTTAATCTTAAAAATATAAACTCCACTTCTGAACCAAATGTTGGTGGCTGCTCAGTCTACAAAAAACAAGGGTCCAAAATCAATCACTGAAAACATTAACTGTTACTATAGCACAATTTCAAAGAGTCATTAAAAATCAAACAATGAAAAGGGTCTGTGTCATAAAACTTGAACATAAAGGTTAAATGATTTAAATTTCTTATTTACACAATAATAACACATTGTTTTCTGATAGTTTGCTAGTGAAAGTTTCCAATATTTTAATGTTTACACTATAATGAAAGTCCCAATTTTAAGGGAATTTTAATGCATAAATGTCAGAACAACAATAGACCAACCTCTGCTAATTCTTTTGGGATCCCACAACAATCCTTTAAATCATGTCCAACCTGATTACATAAAGCACATGGTCTCTGTTGATTAGGTTTAAATTCTTCTCTAATTATAGTAAAATTAGGTTCATGTGTAGCCAGACCTGGAATTGAATGTATGAAACATCATTACAGAAGACAAGAAATCTTCATTTTTTACTAAGATTTCTAAGCTTAGACTCAAGGATCCTATATTCCAACTGGTCCTTGACCAAACAAATTGCTAGTGAAAAATTTTGAATGCTTGGTTTGTTACTTTTTCCAACAATCAACACTACCTTTGCTTTTCAGAAACTTAGTAAAATATTGAGCTAATTTGAGGAATAAATTTCAAGTTAAATGATTTTGACTTACCTAACATAATCAAATCAGCTGAAAAATAAAAAATAAATATCAATTATTGAAATATTGAAAGTATCTATGATATTATCTGACCTATACTAAGCTGTTCTATTAATATTGAACGAGAAATGAAATGAATTGCAGTTTTTAATTCAAATGTTTAAATTTCAGTATCCTGGACCCAATTCCTTCCAATTTTAGGAGTAAGAAGTTGTCGTTGACATTTAACATTGAGAAATACCAAACTAACAACAAAATTGATTGTAAAAATTTATAATTCCAAAATCTCAAAATTAACACCAAAAAAATAATCAAAGGAAAAAAATATAATGACAACTTACCATCAGCACCACATAAACAATGATGTGTGTTTGGATCATGATCTGGTTGACCTATACATAACAATAACAAATCAGATGACATCACATACATACAAATATGAAACTCAGAATCAATCAAATATCAAATTTACTAATCGATTCTACTCAAAATATTGGTCAAATGATTAAAGGTATTTCGATCTTATATATAATGAACATAAATGCATAAAATTCTAAATTATTTGATCAATAAAGTTTTAGACTACAATTTAGGTCCTCAAAGCCAAACCATGATTTACAAGGGAAACAACATAATTCCAGTGTACCATTCTTGGTGATGATCTTTCTCAGATTATTTGTACAAATAATATTTTACCACAGTTGGCAATAAGTCTACCCACATTAGTAGCATTCATGATGTCTTTCATTAGCAAAGCTTGAGACAGACATATCATGATTCTAGACAAATAATGCCTTTCCCAACCATATCTTTAGTGACTCTCATAATATAGATCAATTCAATACCTCTTTGTTTTCTGATGTAATCCATGATTTTATGTTCACCTTCACCAGGAACATTGGCATCAGAGAGAATAACCTTGATATTGGCCCAGCCTGGATCACTGTTTATTCTATCATGGATGTAGTATCTTAAACACTCGGCTAGTCGGAACATAAATGGAGTACCCTGAAATAGATCAAATTCGAGAAACATTACATGTGTAAAAATGTAGGGGATTACAGATTATGTATCAAATGAAATTTTAGTAGTCGTTGAGAATTGGCAAGGTTTTGAGTCGAGGGTTTGAATCCTATCAAGGAAAACCTGATCTCATACTTATTTCCTTACAGATTCAACCTGGTGTCAACATTCAACTCCTTAAACACAATTTCTCCTCTATGACAAGTACTAGCTGTTTGATCAAAGTAACTTGAACCAAACAAAACACCAAAATACTTACTGGAGTGATACAGTTACTATCAAATTTTTCACCCGATTTTTTCTCTGGAGGTAGATGACAGCCTTTTGATGCCAGCTCATTTCTTAATCTACTGATTTCTTCAGCTGTTTCTCTGAAATAGATATCAATATATAGACAGCTTTTATTATGGCCGCCTTCAGTTTTTCAGGCAAAAAAGATTTTATGGGACTGTAATATTCTTGTTTACCTTATAGATTTAGTTCAGTTAATGCATCACTTACATACCAATGTATTGATGTAATAAAATATTTATGGGACTTTTTTCTAAAATCCACTTACTTGCTTTCCTTTGAAGCTCTAAATCTTCTAGATCGTTGTTGATTCATCTTGGCCCTTGGTGCCTGCAAAATATTACAATAAAAAAAAAATCAAGAACCCTTGAGACATAAGTTTATGAAATTGGATTGAAGCCTTCCAACGATTAATAATGGTTGCCAGAATTTCAATAAAAAAAACTATGTGCCTTCCATGAAGGAACACAGTCTAATTTCAGTTAAGGCTTGATTAGATTAATGAAAATACTTGACCAGAAGTTGGTTTCCAAACCCTAAAATTCATAGTAGTAAGTAGTTAATAAAAATATTGACTTACAACACCATCGATGGCCATATAGAGTAGCTTCCTGGGTCTTACGACTGCAAATATTCTGTCTATATATTCAAATATTAATTCCATCATTTCATCTTCATTCTTGGGTGCTGGTCTGAAAAAAAAAAAAAACAATCAAATTATGTTTTGTGGGAAAAAGATGCAACCAAATAAAAATAGAAATTTTAATATTTTCTTTTGGTTAAAATATCATGTAAGCTTAAGGCATGTGTAATACCATTCTGCAGCAAATTTTATCAAATTGCTATGTTTTTACATTTTAGCAAAGAGTCTTTTCTTATGTGAAATTTGAGGAACTTACTTATCTTCAGGGTGACAACATGGATGAATGATACCATTCATATCTAGATATAGATTATCAAACTCTATGTCATTAGGATTAGGTTGACTCGTATCTACTGGTGCTTTCACTCCATCTACTTCCTTAGCCTAGAAAATAACAATATGAAACATCTAATGTGGATTAGGAAAGCAAATGTAGTTGGCGTAGGTGAGATGTATTTTTTTCTGTAAAGGCAACAACAGGGGGTTCAAATCCCTATGAAGGCCAAATACAAATGACATGGAGTTTTACATTTGATATGCAGTTTGCAGGGAGAGAAATTTCCTACTCTTTTTAAGATTGTAACTGTCAAGGGATCTTAAACATGAATAGCCTGTAAAACACACAGGGTCTTGATTTGTCTCATTTTAACAACCTTTTCCACAGCTCTACCTGCATTACTGAAGGGGAAACCATAAGACTGGCAATATTTATAAGACTTTCTTCCCCTTTGACATAAAAAGTAAATTAACAACGATTGAATATTGATGATAATATATTTATTATTACAAAAAATGACAAGATAACCAATAGAAAGTTGATGGGTACCTTCTCTTCGACGCAGTGCACGACAATTGACGGATATTTCCGACTCAACCACCTAAAAAATGCTGGGACTCCCATTTTCAACGAGGAATCCTCTTTCACGTGTTGTTTTGGTAAATTTTATTGAGTGGAACTCTTTTAAATGGAGGATAAAACTTCCTTTATGTTGAGAAATCTTCCTTTTGATTGGTCGAAATATTTCTTGAACCAATCAGAAGCCATCTATCAAAAGTTATATTAGCATAGGGTCAAGGCTGAATGAGAGGTCATAGGTCAAACATGGCTGACAAAGTTCTTCTTTTGCTTTGCTCCTCTGCGAAAATTGAAAGAGATCGGGGATGTGTTGAATTGGAAAAATTTCTAGAGGACAAAAATGAAGAAGAAGTCAAAGATTTTGAAGATAAGCTGCTGAAAATCCTGTCGGATGCGTCTTCTTCTTGGGAATCAAAACATGGAGGACTGATGGGATCCAAATCCATTTTGCTACACAAACATTGCAGTGGGAGTTTTCCAGATAAAATCAGACAACATTCTATCGGTTTGCTTGAGGACGAAGAATTTAGAGTTCGAATTGCAGCAGGTTTGTAGCAGACATTTTCAATGGCTTTTCATTCCAAGAGACATTAGTTAAAAATGGCTACTTGATTTTCTTTATTAGTAGTGTCCTCCTATTAAATGTATTACCGGTACTATCAATATCATGTTAAAAATTATTTTACACGCATTTCCATGGGCCAGATGACATTTTGACTTGTCATATGAACATTTGTAAATTAAATTCAGAAATCAAAATGGCTGGCGAGTAAGAAGTCATCAGTTGTAATATTAGTGTGTAATTAATGGCAAATGTCCAACTGCAGATTAAGCCTCACCCAACAATTATCAGTGAAGAGCCTAAAGCTTAAAAAATCAATAATCTATTGTTAGATGGTGACAATATTCTATTTATATGACCATATATTAGCTTCTTAATCTTTATGTATTGGGTCACTGTTTCTTGGTACAGTTCTTAGATTGCTATGCTATTCTTTTAAGATAGTTTTCTGTTGATTTTTATCAAGTACTGTACCAACTAACTTCATTAAGCACAAAAGGCTGGATGTGATTTGACAGGCAATAAAAAACACACCTGATTTTAGGCTCTTCCAATCAGGCATTGATTGAAGGTATATATGTTGTGTGTGGAAGAGTTCACTAGAAGGTTGAGGGTTGTCAATTACATGACTGGCACACTATATCCAGCTAAAGACAAAACCTTTCATGTATACTGATTCTGAAGAATCTTTAGAAATAAATTTCAGAGCTGAAAACAATGATATCTAGCTGTTTAGAATAGACTTATATGAGTCAAACTATTATTATTTCATGGACTGATTCAGATTCAAAAATGAATTTCAGAGAGAATATCTCTCAATACCTGATTATTCCAACCAACAAAAACATGTATGATTTAGAAATTAGTTCATGAGGCCCACAACATTACCAAAAAAAAAAACAACAAAACTTAAAGATTCTGAAGTGTGACTTTATTTTTTTTTTAATTCTTTTTTTTTATTATTTCTTTCTTAGGGGAAGTACTGGGTGTATTATGTAAGAAAATAGGAAGTGTAGTTTATTCAGAAACCAAAGATAAAATACTAGAAGGCATCAGGACGAATTTAGAAAGACAAATCTTTGAGGATGACAGCACTGATGATTCTACTGCAAAATTAGCAGGAAAACTGGCACCTGAAAGTTCCAACGAATCTCCTGCAAGTAATGGAACCAGACAAAGGGTAGGTTTAATTTCTATGGGAATATTCCAAAAAAAATTATCAATATTGTAATTTTACCCACAAAACCTATTCACTGATTAGGCAAACACTCCCAGCACACTACAGACCAAGAATCTGAATTGATTTATTTTTTTAAAATTTTTATTACAGAGAGATAGTAAAGACGCTGCCCAGATATTTCATGATACAGCCGGGTGGAAATCTCTAGAAACTTGGATGAAGTAAGTAGCTTCAGTTTATTGTTTTAAACATAATTTGAAAACTTGATCACGATAACAACATAGTTATTCTGCTAATTTAGACTGTTATTCAGTTTAATGTCTATATTTTAATGATAGGTTTATGGTTTAGTTTTTTTCATTTTTGTTGACATGATTCTATTGTAGGTGATATATATTTCTTCCCATGCTGTTTATATATTGATGTTTTCCTTCATGATATATCTGGTTTTCATTTTGAATGATTATTTCCATATGCTTATAATTAAATCCTCAGAATGGGGATGAGTGTGTGCTATCTGGTTGACTTTTGAAAAAAAAAACATTGCAGATGTTTATAGATTTTTATTCTCAAAATGTTGGTCAAGGGATTCTTGGTATTTTATTGACACTGTTCTAGATTGTGTTTAGGAAGTTTGATCGGTGTGATAAATTATCTATATATATATCTTAATATTTCATTTCTAGATGTTTACAAAATGTAATTAATGGATGTGGTTATAGTTTTAATAAATTTGTTGATCAAGAACTGCTAGATCTGATATTTAGTTCATTAACTCATACTAATAGATTTGTACGAGAAACAGGATATTATGTCTGCTCTTCTCTGGTAGCTTGTGGCTTTAATGATCAAGGTAAGTGAACAAGGATGTTGATTTGGAGCTAGAAATTGTCAGGCTATGAATTTTCACATTTGATCTTGATATATTCAGTCATAAATTTTGTGTTATTCCTTATTTTTTTCAAATTTGAAGAAATAAAAAGATGAATGAATTTTGATAACTTTTATTATATTTTGATAGTTAAGGCAGATGAAGGGATAAATAAATTAGAAGAGAATGCTATCTATCAACATGGTGAACAATTTGCGGAATATCTTGGAAAAGGATTATCAGATAATTGGAGTCAAGTATATTTGTCTCTTTTTTTCTTTTTCTGACTGCATCACCAATAAAATTTATTAACGGCTAAGTTAGTAACATTAAGGGTGGTACTCAGTGCACTTGGTTTTGGATTTTCTGTACAATAGCAAATAGAAGAAGGGAATACAAGGTTCAGGTCTGGACACGATGCAGAATTCTTTTTTTTAAATTCTTTGTGTAAAGTTTCTTTATGATGTGTCCTAAAAAGAAACCCAGTAACCTACACAGTCCCCCAGAAAATGAAACCTACAAGCTACTCTTAGATTTGAAAATTTCTAGGTGAGACTAGCTGGGTCAGTGGCTACGAGAAAGTTTTTATCCAGTTTACCATCTGATGAAATACGAGAGAAATATTATCCAGACCTTTTACCTCGTATGTGTTTAAACAGGTAAGAGATATATAACAGATTCGAAAAAACTTAAGGATAGGATAACAACTGGTTCCTTTCTACCAACTGATCCTCTGCTCAACCTCTTTGGCATTGATCCTTTCCTGAATTATCAATACCATTTACATCAGAATAAGTAAGGTCCAATTCAGTTGAGAAAGCAGTTTAATACTGTAGATTGAATTTTTTCTCTAGATATTATGTAGCAGAGGGAGTAAGGATTTATTCTCAAGACACCTGGAAAACCATAACTCATGGTGAAGGGAGAAATTTGGTCGAGCGCCATATTGGAGCTGTTGTAAGTATTTTACACTTGTCTTAGAGGGATGTTCTGTATCTTATTGGACTAATGAAATGAAATAGAGTTATATAACCCAGTTTTGTTCCTTATTGGGAAAATGAAATGAAATTGAGTTTTATTTCTTACTGTTCTGTACCATATTGGACTAATAAAATGCATTAGAGTTTTACATGATACTATTCTGTACCTTATTGAGTTGAATTGGGAAATGAAGTAGAGTTGTAATTCATAAAACAGATTGATTGAGTTTTGAATAATATTTGTAGGTAGATTATTATATAAAACAGAGTGATGCTGATAATCATGCTGTACGAGAAGCAGCTTGTGCTTGTATTGCAGAATTAGGACTCAAGGTAGTTTTTTACAACTTTTCTTATTGTCTTTTAAAACAGGTTTGAGGTTTGTCAATGCTATTTTGGAATCAGTTGAAAATTTTGTGATATATAAAGAAAATATCATTGTTAATTGTCACTGGTAATAAATAAAACATGGAGTATTTTTCAGGCCAAGAAAGAGGTTGTGAGTCCATACATCAGTCAATTATTAGATGCTTTAATTATCTGTTTTAATGATGATAGTTGGCCTGTACGAGATGGTAGGTTGATTATCTTTTAATTTTGGGGAATGGCATAGTAAGAGAAAATTCTTCCTGTTTTTTTTTTTGCACCAAGGTTCCCCAGGTGAGGTGGGGTAGTCATTTGAAGAAAAAACTATTATACTAGAGGCTATGCATATTAAATATCTGTCTACAGAAGAACATTTTGATGCGGCTATCATGATAAAATTTCCCTCATTGTACACTATATTATAGTATTGTCTGTCTTCATGAGCCCAAATGAAGAAATGAAAAGAAAAGTAGGATGTAAAATTCCAGTACAGATTGATTATTATAAATCTTTTACTTTTTTCAGCCGCGTGTGTTGCCTGTGGTAATTTTATCAAATGTTTCCCGGATGAATCCAGGTAGGTTTTCATTTTTTGTTTTATGCATGTATAGAGTCTAGAGCAGGCACCTACTGCCACTCTGTGATTAGGCTAGTCAACTTGTCAATCTGTCTTCTATCAAAAGAGCTAGCTAATATTTTTTAAATTGGTAATGATTCTATGAGTTCCTACTTATTGATTTGATGATATAATTTGAGGTATATTTGACGTATTTTCTAGTTTTCATCATTTATATTATAGATCCTGTATGCCAGCTTTATATCCTCTATTTTTCACCAATCTACAAGATAGTATATCATCAGTTAGACAGGGGGCTGCTCTAGCTCTGACTAATGTCTTTAAAGCTTATGGTAGGGTATTTTCTCTTATGTTGTCATCTGTCTGTATATTGCTAACCCTACCTTATTTCTATACCATGAAACTGCTTGCTTATTTTTTTCTTTTTTTGGAAAATAAATTAATTCAGATATTAACAAGATTTATCGATTTATGTCCTCATTTCAATTTCAATTTCAATTTCAATTTTATCTGCAGGAGAAAATAGTCAGGAGATGATACTAAGTAAAATAAAGGAAGGATTAGATGGGGTGGAGAAACAGCCGTCAGTCAGTGAGAAATACAGTGATCTAGAGAAAGGACCGGCAACTTACGGGGTGGTGAAAAAACTACGAGACAATGATATGGAACTTCATACAGACAAACAGGTAGGTGTTCGCAGGATTCTATTTTAAGGTAGTCAACAACTCTTATGCTAGGGGCAGACGAGTGTATTTTTTTTTAGCCTGATAAAGTTTTAATCGCCAGCAATCACGTGATTGGTATACAATGGCGGGGGTAGCCATTCTGAACACATGATCGATCACCCGACAAAATACACTAGACACGGGCAGATGAGTGTAAATAATCAGCTGATTATATGTAACATTTTTTATGCTGGAGATTTTTATAGGCGCAAAAAATTGTAATCGCCATGGTCATCATCAGGCGATGAAATATGCTTATATGCCCCTAGCAATATATATCTGAATGTTTGATATGTTTTCAGTTTCAAAATGGTTTTTAGTGACCCATTAGATAAGTGAAAAAATTTTGTAGAAAATATCTTCTATCCTCACATGTGGTAATACTTTTACTGTTTCCCATGTTATATTCTATTTTTAGATGTATTCTTGTGGGTCTTTGGCACCAAAAATGGGACGAGGATCAAGTAATAAGAGTGGAGGCTGTATGGATCATAAATTCCGTAAACCCTCGGAACCCTGGGAACTAGCCGACGGGTATGTAAAGATTACAATTAAAATTGTACCTTCACTAAAAGATATCTACTAACTCAAACTCTTTAACGATTGTTCCTTTGATATTTCTGTTTCAATCAAGGAACAGAGGGGCTGACTTTGAAATGTGTCATGTTATATATATATCCCTCAAATGTTGGAAATTGATTTTGCTGTCCTGGCAATATATTCCTCATTGCATACTGCATGTGATCTATATTTCTGTATTATATTTTAGGTGTATTTATATCGTCTTAGAACTATCTAGAATACAAACAGTACACCAACCGCTGTGTAAACTGTTAACTAATCTAGTGAAAGCTGTTTCTTACCACCATTATCCACAACATGTTGTTTTACTGGAGACATTGTGTAAACAGGTAGGCCTACAACCTGTACTCTAGTTATAGACCTTATTCACGATCAGCCATATTGAATCCAGAATGAGGCTTATAATTCATAGTGTCATTTCTATCAAATTTGGTGAAATATTAAGTGCAAAAAATGCTGTACATGTTAGATTCTATCTTGTCTTAACGCTACAGGTATCTTTGTAAAAAGTATGGAGTATTTTATTAAAACAAGGAGAATTTGTGGTAATAATAATTTGTTTGTTGTTTCAGTTACCAGGGATTGCCCGTGGTTTAGGTAAAAGATTATTTAAGATGTATATAGAGATGTTTCTAGATTCTATTTTTTATAGCCTGGTGAGTATATATACATTTTTCAAACCATGTCACTTAGAACTCATTTCTGTATCAAAGGAATTGATACAGCCTAAAGTAGAGAAATATGACAGCCTCTTTGGGTTTGCTATCCCATAACTCCTTATTTTATCAAGAAATCGGTAATAAGTGACACACTTTGATTGGTTAACACTAACAACAGCTTGGCTTAAGATCAATCTTCATATATGGCCATGTTTAACAGAATGATAAAGTTACAAGGTTTGATTATGGGGTAGGCAGGGGACATTGGGACTCTGGGGTTCTGATCACGGACAGGTGAGGTTATTTTCATTGAGGCCCCTATCTCAGAATCTAATTTCAATTCTTTTCAGAAATGTGATAATATATTAACATCAAACGCAGCGATCCAGTGTTTATTAGAACTGAATGAGTTAATAGGACCAGCTATATTCCGTGGTCGTATTGAACAATATGATAGCAGGTAACATTGAATTTTTTTTTGAAATTTTATTGGTTCATCAGATCTTTATGGAACCCATGATACATGAAAATGGGTATTTGGATTCTGTTATTTTATATTTTACGTGTAATTGAACTGGTTCCAATAAAGACAATTTAATTTTTAAATTTCAGATATTTACAAGAATTAAATAGAGTTGTCCCTCCTGCAGCACCAATGTAAAAGCATGAGGAAACAGTAAATGTACACTATATATAAGATATCTGCCCATTATATGGTTCAAGTATATACAGACTCTTTTCTGACCATCTGTCCATCAGCATCAGAGTTATGTTATTGTTATGAATAGTAATGCCATTATATGATAGGATTGTGTTTATATTTTCTGAACATAAATGCCATTATATGATAGGATTGTGTTTATATTTTCTCAACATAAATGCCATTATATGATAGGATTGTGTTTATATTTTCTGAACATAAATGCCATTATATGATAGGATTGTGTTTATATTTTCTGAACATAAATGCCATTATATGATAGGATTGTGTTTATATTTTCTCAACATAAATGCCATTATATGATAGGATTGTGTTTATATTTTCTGAACATAAATGCCATTATATAATAGGATTGGGTTTATATTTTCTCAACATAAATGCCATTATATAATAGGCTTGTGTTTATATTTTCTGAACATAAATGTCATTATATAATAGGATTGTGCTTATATTTTCTGAACATAAATGCCATTATATGATAGGATTGTGTTTATATTTTCTGAACATAAATGTCATTATATGTTAGGATTGTGTTTATATTTTCTGAACATAAATGCCATTATATGATAGGATTGTGTTTATATTTTCTGAACATAAATGCCATTATATAATAAGATTGTGTTTATATTTTCTGAACATAAATGCCATTATATTATAGGATTGTGTTTATATTTTCTGAACATAAATGCCATTATATGAAGGATTGTGTTTATATTTTCTGAACATAAATGCCATTATATGATAGGATTGTGGCAGGATTGTGTTTATGTTTTCTCAACATAAATGCCATTATATAATAGGATTGTGTTTATATTTTCTGAACATAAATGCCATTATATGATAGGATTGTGTTTATATTTTCTGAACATAAATGTCATTATATGATAGGATTGTGTTTATATTTTCTGAACATAAATGTCATTATATGATAGGATTGTGTTTATATTTTCTGAACATAAATGCCATTATATAATAGGATTGTGTTTATATTTTCTCAACATAAATGCCATTGTATAATAGGCTTGTGTTTATATTTTCTGAACATAAATGTCATTATATAATAGGATTGTGCTTATATTTTCTGAACATAAATGTCATTATATGATAGGAGAGTGTTTATTTTCTGAACATAATTGATCTCAATGTATAGTAGACTGAGCTTATTGGCCAGAGACTTGGTATTCTATACCTCACAAATACTTACCTTGAATAAATCAAGATTGTAAGAAAGTAATGGTAATCTGATTGGTTCCAAAAATAAATTTTAGGTATTCGCTGCACATTTTCTCAATAAAAAATGGTTGGGAAAAAAGAATAACACACGGGTTTATATTCCCCAGTGGCTACAAATGGGTTAAAATTGGGCAATGGCAATGGTTAGCTATGGTTAAGCCATTCTTGATTTCTCAGACCACAGGCGAAAACTACTAGGCCACGGACACCCAGTTTTAGTGCGGAGTTAACCCTAGGGTTCGGGTTCTCAACACAAAATGGTCGGGGAAAAGAATAAAACAGGGCTGAAATGGGTCCGAAACAATTCATACCCCAGTGGTTACAAATGGATTTAGAAAAATTTCCAATTGGAGAATTGTGGAATTGTCCCTAGCAGGGATTGACATCAATGGTGACTACAGGCTTCTTTTTCTTAAAAATTTCCATGGTCAGAAGATAATGTTAACCCAAGAGTTAACTTCGATGTAAACCCAAAGTCAAATAGGGTTGACTCGGGAAAGGGTTATAGCTTGTTCAAGTCTATGGTTTCGGTGCAAAAACCACTTGAACACCGAGGCCTAGGGTTTTTAAATAGGGTAAATTGGAATAAACATTAACCCTAGAATTAACTTGAGGGAAAACTCATTTCTTCACGACACAAGTTACAAAACACGAAAAAATAGCTCTGAAAAAGAACTGAAGATATATAATAGACAATAACTGAATAAAAGATTAAAGGTATGCTTCCTCTTAGGATGACCAACAAATTTAAAATATTGAACTTGGCCAAAATGAATCTTTGTTCATCAGTGGACTTACCTGGTGTCAGAACTTTGTAACAGAATCGCTCTATAATCCAATAAATCCATAAAACTAAGTAATGATTCAATAAACTAAGTAATTTTCAAACACGCTTAGAAGTGTTAATCACTAATTACTAAGTTAAATGGATACATCGTCTTATATATTCTATTCTTTAGTCATAGTAAGTCCAACTGATGAATATATACACTAATTGAACAAGTTTGAGACTTCAAATTTTTGACCATTCTAAGAGGTACTCTTCCTTTAAGATATTCTATATAAAGTACTGTTAACATGGGCGTATATTTACAGTCTTGTTAATAATCTTTGTTATATATTCACAATGAATTATGTATTGATATATTTGGAGGTATTAAACCGAGTGAATAGAATAGATTGCACTTAAATAAAAGGAGTAAAAACATAATATATTTTAATGAACGTAGGCGTTTTGTTGAAGGGGCTATGTTCCACACAGAACCACAGAATTTGACAGAACCAAGTTGAAATCTTGTGTGTGAACACGAGGAACATATAAGCGAACATTTTAGAATCATATTGTAAATGAATAAATGAGTGGACAGAAGGGGTTCTGTACTCAGACTATCCTTCTTTTTTTCATAACATGAAACTGAATGAACCCGAATTAAACAATTTTATAATGTCTACCTAATTGATTTAGTCGCCTGAGTAAACGCCAATTTTCTCCTTGTGATTTATATCTTTGCATGCAAATGTCACATGGAAAATAGTTTCTTTAATCTCAACCCCAATTGTTCAATTTGTAATATGTTTTATTGACTGTAAACCAACCAATCAAGAGATTTGAACGCGACAGAAGGAAGTAATATATATATATAGTAATTGTCATCTATATAATACTGCTATTCAAAATAGAGTTTTAAATACATGAAGACACTGCATATTTCTTGTCGTGATTTTGAAACCATAGTAAAAACTTTACTCTTAACATCATAACATACATTGCATAGTTTAGAACATAGCTGTCATTATGTCGAGATTGTATTACCGTGTAGTAATTTTTTTTTTTTTGGATTATAATATGTTAATAGTTATCCGTACCACATAATTAATGCAAGCTTGCTGACGATTTCTTATGGGCATTTTTAAAGGAATATAAGGAGAAAGAGATTCTTAAAAATATTTGTTTTGTGTTTTCGTATTTTATGTATTTTATTTATTGAAATAATTCTGTGTTTGTGTCTTCTTAATTGATATTGGCGAACCTGAAACGAATGTTTTTATGTGCGACATGATTCAATTATTTGATAAAGATGTCATATTAATTTACTGGCTTAAATATAATTGAACGTCGTTCCATAATAAGACTTGAATCTTAAATGTACCGACGAATTATCCCATGCTTTTGCCATATTTTGTCTTATATTTTAATATAATGTTTTTGTTTATATTTTCAGGTCTAGCGACTAATTCAATATCACCATGGCTTATTCATCATCACCAGGGCTAATCAATATCACCACGGTTCATTCATCATCATCACCACTGCTAATCACGACGGTTTATTCATCATCACCACAGTCAATGCAGTATCACAATGACCTATTCAATACCTATATGGCTTAATCACAATCACACAATGTTTTCAATATCACCTTGGCTTATTCATTATCACCACTGCTAATCAATATCACCACGGTTTATTCAGGATCACCATTGTTAATTCAGTATACCATATTTCAATCAGCATCACCATGTTTTATTCTGTATCACTATAGTTTTTTCAGTATCGCCATGACTTATTCAGTATCACCGTTGCCAATTCAGTATAATCATGGCTTATTCAGTATCACCGCAGCTTATTCAATATCAGAATCATTAAATTAAATAACCTGCTTCATTTTTTCAACAATGCAATACTCTATCGTTGTCCCCTAATTAATTCTCATTAAATCATAATAAGATCACAATACACAATAATGTTATTCAGTAAGTATTATTTTAAGTACATGGTAAGTAGTTTAACATTCATCTATGTCCGTGACAGGCTAAAATATGTACACTGTAAGTGTATGGTATAATCATAGTGATTGTATCGAAATATTATAATGTACATACTAAGTGTATGGTATAATCATAGTGTTTGTATCGACATATTATAATGTACATAGTAAGTGTATGGTATAATCATAGTGTTTGTATTGACATATTATAATGTACACTGTAAGTGTATGGTATAATCATAGTGTTTGTATCGACATATTATAATGTACATACTAAGTGTATGGTATAATCATAGTGTTTGTATCGACATATTATAATGTACATAGTAAGTGTATGGTATAATCATAGTGTTTGTATTGACATATAATGTACATACTAAGTGTATGGTATAATCATAGTGATTGTATTGACATATTATAATGTACACTGTAAGTGTATGGTATAATCATAGTATTTGTATCGACATAATTATGATAATGTGCATGGTAAGTGTGTGGTATGATCATAGTGGTTGTATTGAGATATAATGTACATGGTAAGTGTATCATATAAACATAATGATTGTATCGACATGTACGTGGTAAGTATATGCTATGATATGAACACAATAGATGTATCGGGTATAATGTACATGGTAAGTAAAGTATGAACCGAGTAAAAGCAAGTACATGTAAGTGTATGGTATAATGTACACTGTAAGTGTATGGTATAATCATAGTGGTTGTATTTTCATATAATGTACTTTGTTAGTGTATGGTATAATCATAGTGATTGTATCGACAATTACGTGGTAAGTTTATGCAAACCACATTTAGGCCTACTCCTTTAGACATTCGGTGTTTAAATCATTTATAGTTTGTGTAAAATTGAAGCAATAGTTAAAAGAAAAACTGAATTTCTATTCCAGATAAGAATATATCAATCGGCGATATATGTGGTGTTGATAAGGGTGTCAATAGAATTTGTGTTGATTCCCACACCGTATGCTCTGAAGTGTCAAATGGAGCGAGAAAATGTCTGTGTGATAGAAATTATGGTAAAATAGGGGGACAGTGCGAGAGAGTACCAAACACATTATTTATGAAAAGTTTTGTTAATGAAACAATTTCACCGGGTGACAACATAACAATAGGTATGTATATTTTTATATGATATTAAACACATTCAACACACTTTTAATTGTGTCAGTTTGTTTTATAAATGTCGTATTCGAAATTTACACGGGGCTCATAGCTTAGACGGCAGTATTTTGGGAAACACTTCAACGTTTGTAAGCCTTTTATAATGGCAACGTTGTGCATACAATTAAATTTGCTAAACCGGAAGTGACACATTGAAACATGTGCCAAAATTAGAAACTTGTCTCTAAAAGATGCTATTTGGGGTAGATTTTCTTGAATTACTTCCGGTGTTACTGATATATCGCAACACAATCTGGAAATAAATTTTAATCAGATTTTGATGATTTCGGTGTCAAATGAAAGAGCATAAAAATCAAAGAAGTTGGGAAGTGGATTTATTTCGCTGTTGCTGTTTTGTAATTTCCGGTTGAATTTGATTAAAGTTTGAAGGATTTGAAGGATAAGGATTTTATTCCATGCCCTGGACCTGGAATGGATCAAAGATCATTGACCTTGGCTATCAGTTGATACTTTAATATTTACCTAGAGCTCCAGAGAGAAATAGCAATTTTATTTCATGCAAATTTGAAATATGTGATTTTTTGAAATTACGGTGTTTTCTACAATATTTTCGCTTCTTGAAAATTGCTATATGTATATATGACGTGATCTATATGATGTACAAGCTTCAAATCTGGAACACATCTGTAATTAATGACAAAAAAAAATTGAGGTGGGCGGGGCACATCCGAGATGTATTATAATTTACACTTTTTATTTACAATTTTTTAATCGGAGGATAAGTTTGGTTAAAAAGGGACTTTGCACACAGATACCTTAGTCGTCTTAATAGCTAAATACCAGCTTTTTAGTTTAAAAGAAAGGAACAAGTTTTTGATTTTTTGCATATTAAATTTTTGAATATCAACTTCCTCTTTACGGTCAAAGGTCATTAGCCTTAGCCATTTGCTGATACTTACATAAATATATGATGTCTGGCGTCTACTTCCGATTTCACAACCTTCTAAAAACAGCAATTTTCACCACCTTTTCCCAAACCTTATTATTTTTATGATTCCCATACAAATTGGCACATTAGTTATATCTAGTTGGTATTCTAATTTAAGACTATAACATAACAACACCAATGAATAACCTGACAGCAATTCAGATTGTTACCATACCCGATATGACAGGTAACGTTGAGTATATTTACTCCGTACAGGGAATCAGTGTGATGATTTATAACACTGGAAATCTAAAGCTAGAGGTAAGTTCGATGAATGTTCGTGATTGTGTTCAAAATACAGAAAAACATGTATAATAAACGCCATGAGCTCTAAAGAATGTGGGTCTCTTTTGGAGTAGTCATTCTAATTACATATATTCGTATTGTATATAATTTTTGTTCTATTTTGTAAGTATGTCAGAAGAACGTCATTGTTGATTTTAATTTTGTTTTTGAAAATTAACAGACTTTTATGATCCGATTGAGGGCCGAATACGGTGGTGTTAAAGTTCAAGATTCGACACTGATACATTTACATACCATAGAACCAGACATAGAAGATTATAGTAATTATAGTAACATTAGTAACCTTTTCATACGCCCTGTTGCCCCAGTCCTTCGGTCCGTCAACATTTCTTATGAGCACAATAAAGACAACAGGTGACATGTGATCATTTAAATCTTCGACAATTTCGAATTTTACAATCTTTTAATGAACTCAAATTTGTTCAAATGGGTTCAAATTTGTTTTTGATCACACAATAAATCTTTTCCTTGGTTAAAACGAGTCAAAATAATTTGTTTATGAGCGCAATAGAAACTACAAATTCCAATCGGTTTTTATGAAAGTTGGTGTGATCATTGGAATTGATAAGAATCTATTTCATGGCATGACATGCGCATCAAATCCATTCTGTGAGTAGAAAAATAATTTTATTGTCAAGCACGAATCTTTTAGCGGTGAGCATCCATGTTAGAATTTTGGTGGTGGACTTTTTACTGGAACGGATTACTGTAAACAACGCATACGAAACTACATATGATTCTTACATGGAAATAACACACACCAACGTAGTTAACTTGTAAACACTCAACAAGGTTGAATTTTTGACAGATTTTGACGAAACTTGGTGTAAATGTTTATTATGAACCCTATCAAATATAAGAAAAATCAAAATATATTTAGTATGATGAGTTATTGCCCCTCAAGTTTTAGCCTGCAAACACTCTAGAAAGCCCAATTCTTGACATATTTACTTGGTAATATTATACGGTATCGCCTCAGAGTGTAAGACTGGAGGTTGAATATTTCATACTGGTAATTGTTACTGTACTACCAAATATTTTATTTAAAATCAAAGCTGCCAGTAGGCGTATATTACCTTGCCTGGCAAGCTATCTAGATAAATGCTATACTATTTAAAGTAATCCTTTAAATCACATTTAAAGAGTTAGAAATTGCTTTAAATGTAACTTTAAAGCTTTGTCGAATTATTATATTATTATTAAATTCAACTTACTAGGGGCGTTTATTACCTTTCACCAGGGAGTAGGCTCTCACCTGTCTTTTCTTTTATTGACTTGCACAACAAATCCATTCTGTGAATAGAAAAATAATTTTATTGTCAAGCACGAATCTTTAGGCCGTGACGTGAACACACGTGAGTCGAGGAAGAGATTCAAAACAGAACTACGATCGTGTGTGTTATTTCCATGTAAGAACCATACGTAGTTTCGTATGATTAACAACGTAGAGGCCTGCTGCAGTTTTCAGATAAATGGAGGCTCAATGCTACCATGTTATGATTTGAAAACTATTTAAACAAAGTAATTTGTGCTCTATTTTCAGATGTAATTTTGGGCGATAAATGTGGTTTGGATGAAGGTTTTAATAAAATTTGTGTTAATTCTAACGCAGTATGTTCTCAAGGCCTAGACGGAATTATGAGTTGTGTGTGTGATAGAAATTATACTAACATAGATGGACAGTGTGAGAATGTACCAAACAAATTATTCATGAAAGATTTTGTTAATGAAACTATTACACAGGGTGAAAACATAACGATAGGTGTGTATATTTTTGATATTATATAAAGCAAGATAAACATTTATATCATCTGTTAATTACCTGCCCTACATCTTCACATTGTCTGGCTATTACGAACTTCGTCTTATATCTTGACTGCAATAGTATTCATTTATTCTAACCTTTTGTTTACATACTTTCTGTCGAGGTCTCTGATTAGCTGTTTTCGTTACCTTACAATCCAAGTAAATCACTGCATTTACAAATTTCTGAAATAGCTTGGCATTGTGAGGATGCTTGCATCATTTCATCCAATTATTCATTGTCATTTTAACCCCCTTTCTACAAATTAATCTTCTGATGACACGTGTAAATTGTGTTGAAACGTTATGAACTTTGTTATTTAAGAAGTATATTTATACAATTATATTGTGTTTTTTGTAATATGATATTGAAATTGTTCTACGTAATCGTCCATGTCTTTGATTAGTTATATTTGGTATTAATTCTAATTTCAGATTATGAATTAACAGTTCCAACAATAACCTTGAATAATATTCAGATTGACACCATACCCAATATATCAAACTTCAAATATGATAGTTCCAATGGTGAACTTAAAGTGTGGATTTTTAACACTCAAAATCTATCATTAGAGGTAAATCTGAAACAAAATATCATAATTCTTAATTCCATTCTTAGATAAAATCTTTTTGTTTTAATGAAAGAAAGAGCTAATGATGTATTATATGCCAAAATTTGTTGGAAATCTTTTTAATTTCGTTTTTTTGAATATTTAACAGAATTTTATGATTCGAATGAGGGCTGTATACGGTGATGTTGAAGTTCAAGATTCGACACTGGTATATATACATATTATGGAACCAGATATTGAAGATTCTAGTAATTATAGTAACACTTATCAATTTTTCAAACTTCACCGTTGCTCCATTCCGTCAGTCCGTCAACATTTCTTTTGAGCACAGTAAAGACAAGAGTTTTCAGTGTGATCATTTTCATGGACAAGATCTTGTTTTCATCGAATTATAATGAAATTCTGTGTGTTCGTATGTATTAATGAGATCTTGGACAAGATTGAATTTGACGATTTTTGGATGAAAAGTATTTTTTAGATCTTTTCCTTGACTAGATTTCCACGTTAGATTTTTTACTGGAGCAGATTACTGTTCTGTTAACAACGCATACGAAACTAAGTATGGTTCCTACATGGAAATAACACACACGATCGTAGTTCACAAATATTTTGAATCTCTTACTCGACTTTAAAAGTCGAATTTTGAAAAAGGCTATAATATTTCAAGTGATCCTTCGAATCACATGTAAAGGGTTAGAAATGGCTTTCAATTTAACTTTAAGGCTTTGTTGAAATATTATGACGGCCACAACCATGGTGTGGAAGGAAAAATACGTGGGCATGGTTGGCTTGAAAAGTATGGCATCATATGAAAGCGTTCCTCGATACAAATGTTAAATCGTTCGAAATCCATAACCACGGGAGTCATCAGACAATAATTTAATACTCAACGGCTTCGTATACAATAAATGTTACAAAACCGCAGGTTTTGTGTTGTTGACAAAACCCACGGACGTTACAAAAGCAAAACAATTGGCGTTAGTCGTTCGTTATTCATTCGTTTGTAAAATGGCGTTTGTCCTTGACCTTATGAAAATTATTTACAGTATGGACCACTATTTAAGGGAAAATAAACTTATTATGGACAACTGTATATGCCAATAAATACAAAGGTAAACAAATATGAGAAAACATAAAGAAAACAAAAACAAAACATATCCAGCAACCTGGGATAAAACAGATTAACAACATGATATGCTTTTGGCCGCAACATTCCGGCCCTGTTAACTAGCTTAACCTAAATTTACACTAGGGCAAAAGGAATACTAATTTATCAATAGGACGAACAAAAAAGCTAGAATTTGTCTTGACACGAGCACTTCTAACAAAGTCATTTTTGTCCTTATAAACTTCAATAACACGAGCCATGGACCAAAAATTACGTGGCTGATTGTCTTCCACTAATAAAACAATGTCATCAACACTTAAGTTTCTTTTAGGATTTTGCCATTTGGAACGCTGCTGCAATGTAACCAAATATTCCTTGTTCCAACGTTTCCAGAAAGAATCTGCGAGAAACTGTACACGTTTCCAATATTTCCTGACATATAAGTCTTCTTTCACAAACTTGCCAGGNGAGTTAAGCCATGTAGTACGTGAAGTAAGTAAATGATTTGGCGTTAACGGATTAAAGTCTTTCGGATCATCAGACACGAATGTTAACGGTCGACTATTTATAATCGATTCTACTTCACAAATAAATGTACTAAAAGATTCGTCATTAAGTAAGGATTTCCAGCGTCTTTTAACAGTGAGTTCAATACTTTCCTCACAGAACGTATTTGACGTTCCCAA